TCTGCCCACTGCCAGCAGTTTGATCCTGACTGGTTTCAGATTGACTCATCTTTCCATCCTTCCGAGGTCGGTAAAATGAGGACCCAGATTGTTGAGGGTAATAGGCTGATTTTGTAAACTGCTTAGAGAGGGCTGTAAAAGCACTGTAAAGCAATATATGTCTGTGCTATTGCTATTGCTCTTCCTTTTTTCCTTTCCTTCCTTCCTTCCTTCCTTCCATCCATCCATCCATCCATCGTGCACAGTGGTTAGAATGCAGTATTACAGGCTAACTCTATCGATTGCCAGCAATTCGATCCTGAGCCCCTCAAGGTTAACTCAGCCTTCCGTCCTTCCGAGGTGGGTAAAATGAGGACCCAGATTGTCGGGGGAAAGAGAGGCTGACTCTGTAAACCACCTAGAGAGGGCTGGAAAGCACTGTGAAGCGGTATATAAGTCTATGTGCTATTGTCCTTCCTTCCCTCCCTCCCTCCTTCCCTCCCTCCCTCCTTCCCTCCCTCCCTCCTTCCCTTCCCTTCCCTTCCCTTCCCTTCCCTTCCCTTCCTTCCATGGTGTGCAGTGGTTAGAATGCAGTATTGCAGGCTAATTCTGCTGACTGCTGGCAGTTCGATCCTGACCGGATCAAGGTTGACTTAGTTTTCCATCCTTCCGAGGTGGGTAAAATGAGGACCCAGATTGTTGGGGGAAAGAGAGGCTGACTCTGTAAACTGCTTAGAGAGGGCTTTGAAGCACTGTAAAGCATTATATAAGTCTAAGTGCTATTGCTAATGGCTGGTTAACCCTCCCAAATTGTCTGAAAAACTGCTTTCCTCACTACAATTCAAACTGGAGAAAGTGCAAAAATCAAATATCCATTCTATGGCCACACCTCCTCTGTTCCTCTGTCTCAATCATCCAGGTCGTAGTTGTACCAAAGTTATTAACTTATTTGTCTTTGTAGATTTATCTTTTGTGATTGTAAGCGACCAGAATTACCTTGAGGTAAAATGGGGGGCCTATAGATTTTATAAACAAACTGTACACCAGCTATGGGGGAACCCTACAAGATTTGGTTATTTGTTTATGTATTACTCAATTCAGTGGTGGGATTCAAATTTTTTACTACCGGTTCTGTGGGCGTGACTTGGTGGGCATGGCTTGGTGGGCATGGCAGGGGAAGGATACTGCAAAATCCTCATTCCCTCCTGACTTGGGAGGCAGAGAATAGATGGGGGTGTGGCCAGCCAGTGGTGTTTGCCGGTTCTCCATACCGTGACCCATCAAATGTGCACCCGACAAAACCGCGCCGACAAAACCGCGGCGAGAAAACCGTGAGGTCGAAAGCACTCCCACAAAAGAGCGCCGACAAAATCGCATCCACAAAAGCGTGATTAGGGTTAAGGTAAGAGTTAGGGTTAGGGTTAGGGTTATTACGTTGTTATTATGTTGTTATTACGTTGTTTTTGAGTTGTTTCTTGATGGCGCGCTTTCGTCAGTGCGCATTTGTCGGTGCGCTTCTGTGGGCGCGCTTTCGACCTCGCAGTTTTCTCGCTGCGGTTTTGTCGGTGCACTTTTGTCAGGCGCACATTTGTCGGTGAACCCTCCATACTACTCAAAATTTCCGCTACCGTTTCTCCAGAACTGGTCAGAATACTGCCCCTGACTCAATTAGTTATATTTCTCTATATTTCTCTATATTTCTCTTTGAGTGCCAAATCTCACTCAGTGGTATTAAAAATGGCTTCCTCCCTTTTACTCAGTCTCTTGCCAAGTATCCGGTGACAACCTTTTGTGGCACGCCAACAATTTTTCGGATGCTGCTCCAACACGATGTTAGCAGGTACAACTGATTTGCCTAAGAAGAAGGACATTCTGGGATGCTTTAACTCTTTTGTAATTTTGTATCAAGAGACGCGGTGGCTCAGTGGCTAAGAATCCCTAGTGCCGCATAACAGAGGGAGCTCCCATTACTTGTCCCAGCTTCTGCCAAGGTCCCTTCTCTGAAGAAAATTGCTTTCTCCTTCTCTTCGTTCAGGTATAAGTTCAAGAGTCTGCACACCTGTTTGGCTGGTGGCGAACCAAGCAACCTAGAAGTGTTGAAAGACTGGAAAGCAGAAACTGGGTTTGATATCCGTGAAGTCTACGGGCAGACAGAAAGTGTAAGTTTGCAACCAGTTGTGTCTTTAATATAAATGTTCAGGGTGAAAAGGTCCGGAAAACAAACGCATGGAACTTTTCCAGACTTACTCAGCTGTTCTGAGCCAGGCTTCCTTAAAAAGCAATTAGCAGAGCAAAACCCCTTTTATTTACACGACTGTGATTTCCTTTCATTCACAGTCAGCAAGGCTTAGCAAACAGTCTTTCAGAGGAATGTTTATCAACACGAACCTTATCTCGTTTGGCGAGCTGCCAAATAACTAGTTTCCAGACGCAGGGCAAGGCAAAACTTGGCACAGAGTCTCTTATAGTCACAAACAGAACTTTCCACTCTTAAAACGACCGAATGAACGAAGTGTTTCCTGCAAAAGCCCCTCCCCATTCATTTCCTCCTTTGTTTCCTATGGGAGGGGCCAATCACTTTCAAGATATGGATTTACTTTCAAGTTGACCCTGCTTTCTTAGTTCTTGTCTTCTGACAGCTCTGCACAGGGGCACACTGGGAACAGGCTCCAGCTGTTCCTCTGCCTCACTGCTGTCTAGCTCCCTCTCTGCCTCCGACGCAGAGCCCTCGTCTGAGCTTTCCTCAGCCCGCAGGACTGGCCCATGTTCCTCCCCAACTTCCTCACTGTCCGACTCTGCTGCCCGCTCTGCCGGCCGTGGCAGGCCACAACATCAGCTGAGACCCTGACTTCAGTTCACCAAGCCAGAATGTGAGGAGGTCAATGCATGCACGCACTCTGAAGCAGCGAGATCCTTCCAGGTTGAAAGGATTATCCGGGGACATCACTGTTTCCCACGGGATGCCCATTTGAGGATCCCCTTTCATATCCCCTGCAGGAGCTGGAGAGAAGGATGTGTTGTGGCCTGCCAGCGGCTAGCGGAGCCGCCGCTGTCTGAATCTGCTGCCAGCTCCACTGGCCGCTGGCGGGCCGCAACACAAACATATGTTTAGTGAGCATTTAAAGTTGCAACGGCACTGAAAACATGAGATTTACAAGCAACCCCCACACTTACAACGAATGCAGCATCCCCAGAGTCACATGAGCAAAATTTGGATGGTAAGCTTAACTTAATTGCATTCCTATCATTTGTCCTCACAGTCCTTGCTATGCGGCACTGCAAAAGGGATGAAAATTAAACCTGGATTCATTGGAAAACCTGTTTCTGGTGTTGATATCCAGGTAAGTCCGTGTTGTCATGGATATAATCAATAGAGGTAGTGGAGTAGTGCGGTGGCCTAGAGGTGGTGCTCTCGCCTCACAATCAGGAGGCTGAGAGTTCAATCCTAGGTAGAGGCAGATATTTCTCTCTCTGGGCACAATGAGAAATATATCTGCCGAACTAAACTCCGCAATGGCGACTGGAAGGCATCCGGCCATTCAAACATTCTGCTAGTTTCATTCAGTTGCCCAGACTCTACCCCGCAAGGGATTATGGGGTCATTAAATGAACATGATGATCGTCATCACTACAGGTAGTCTTCAACTTGCACTTCACTTAATGACCTTTCACAGTTACAATGGCCCCGAAAAAGAGGCTCATGACCATTTTTCACACTTAACAACCATTGCAGCATCCCTGTGCTCACATGGTCAAAATTCAGATGCTTGACAACCAATTCATGTTTATGACGGTTGCCATATCCCGGGGTCATATGATCCCTTTTTTTTTTTTGCAACCTTCTGACCAGCAAAGACAATGGGGAAAATCAGATTCGCTTAACAACCCTTGCTATTAAGTTAATAGCTGCAGTGATTCGCTTAACAACGGTGGCAAGAAAGGTTGTAAAAGGGGGCAAAACTCACCAACAACAGAACACAACAATAGAAATTCTCACAACAACAGAAATATGGGGCTCGGTTTTGGTCGTAATTCGAGGACTACCTGAATTATAGGGGGGGGGATTCCTTGGCATAGCATAACCTAATACCATGAGAATTGTACATTACAATGAATCTGCTAGCCAAGGAGATTAGCCCCCCCCCCAATCAAAAGGGAAGCTTGAATGTCCATTTCTTTCTAGATCATTGATGAAAATAACCATCGTCTTCCTCCCGGAGAAGAAGGAGACATCGCCGTGAAGATCAAGCCGCAAATGTTTGTGGGTCTTTTCAGTGGCTATGTGGTAAGGGAGAACCCCTCAAACAAATTTCAAGAAGTAGAAGAGGTTAAGGGGTGGCAATGGCATCAGCCATTGTCCTTCAGCTCTTGCAATGATCAAGGAGAACCTACAGAAAGGACCAAGGATGAAGCTTCAAATGAAGTTTCAGTCCTTCTCGGTTCCCAACGTGGAAGTTGGAAAGCTACAACACAGGGGACAATTGTTGGTTCCAAGACCACCCTATGCCAGCCCACTTTGGGCGAATCAATGATATCGTGGTGTACATAGGGAGATCTGATTGGATAACTGCTGACCAATTGTTGTGCCAGAGCTGGCAGCAGATACGGACAGCGAGGAGGTTGGGGAGGAACATGGGTCAGTCCTGGAGTCTGGGGAAGACTCGGATGAGGGCTTTGCATCAGAGGCAGAGAGGGGGCCCAAGACCATCTAATAGTTATTTGCTGCCTCTGAACCCTCCGGAGCCTGATATCAGCAAGGCAGAAGAACAGTGGGAGCCTGTTTCCAGTGTGTGCATGTGCAGAGCTGCCAGAAAACAGAGTCGACTTGGGAGTAAGGCTTGGAGATGATTGGCTCCTCCCATATGACATAAAAGAGGAACAAACTGGATGTGAACTTTTGCAGGAAGCAATGAGTTCATCTGCTCGGTTCAAGCTTTGAGAAGTTCTGTTTGACTCTGTGCTAAGTTTGGCCTTGCTCTGCCTTTGGCAGTTAGGTCTCTGGCCTCATTCCCACAGACTGTTTGTGAAGCCTTGCGGACTGTTTAATGACCACAATTTACAGCCGTATAAATAAACGAGGGTTTTGGGGAGTAAGATTATGATTTACGCTTTCTCAGGAAGCCTAGGTCGGAACACCAATGACCAGAGAGGTGGGGAAGATTTGAGACGGTTGAGAACGTTCTACTTTATGATCCTGTGGGTTGCAACAATTATTATTATTATTATTATTATTATTATTATTATTATTATTATTATTA